ACTTAGAGGTGGGTTCGAGCTTTGACCCTGCCTTGACTGGTGATCGTGAACTCAGGCACAGTTTAACCTTGCTCCTCAGTTTTTTCATCTCTAAAAGGGGTGAAACAGCTATGTCATTCCCTTGACAAATGCTGCCACGTGCTGCTCGGTGCCGGCCCTGCTGTGAGCACTGGCGTAGCTATGACCCAGGTGGTCTGAGCCCAGACCTTCACGACGTGCTCACAGTGACCCTGGTGACCCGGCCACAGGAAGGCTGGTAATGTTGCCAATTGTGACTGGCCACCACTTATCGAGCGCTCACTACGCACCAGGCACATGCTGACCAGAGCAACCTCACTGAAACTCACAACAGCCAGGAGGAGTGTAGGCAGGCGGCCCTGGCTCAGTGCCCGCCGCACAGGGTGGCCACCGTGGAGATGGCGTGTGGGGGTGTCCGTGCTCCTGAGCCACGGGCTCTGAAGCCGGCCAGGCCTGGTTCAGACCCCGACTGCCTCTTGCTGTGAGAGCTTGCTGTCTTTGGGCCTCAGTTGCCACATCTGTGGACAGGGCCCATCACAGTGGGTCAAGTGTGCAGTGATGTTAGGCGTGTGCAGCACTTGGCACAGAGATCCCCAGGGTGGCTGCTTTTACATTAGAGGGCGGGACTGGAGGGGATAGTCAGCGAGCCGTAGGCCTTCCAGGAGGGGGACCCCTGGGCAAAAGCCAAGGGTCCGCCAGCCCCCCTACCAGCGGCACCCTCCTTCTGTGCAGGAGATTGGACGCATCTCCATCGAGATGAACGGGACCCTGGAGGACCAGCTGAGCCACCTGAAGCAGTACGAGTGCAGCATCGTGGACTACAAGCCGAACCTGGACCTGCTGGAGCAGCAGCACCAGCTCATCCAGGAGGCCCTCATCTTCGACAACAAGCACACCAACTACACCATGGAGGTATGCCGCCCCCGCCAGGCGCCCCTCGCCCCGCTCTCCCTGCCACTAGCACGGAGGAGCCCTGTGCCGCCCAGTGGGACGGTGTCTGCTGCTTCCGCTGTCTCCTTTTACTCTGACTGAAAAGGCTAGATCAAAATGTTTACTGTTTTTCTACCATTACGCTCCCACCACCATGACAGCACACATCTCAGGACAAGCTCCTGGGAGAGTTGGGAGGGCAGCACCTGCCCCCACTGTGGCCTCAGCACTTGGTCCTGGGGCTCGAGGGCACAGGTCCAGCCAGTGCGTGCTGGAGTCCGTGCGCACCGGCTCTACGGCCGGGTTGCGGTAACAGGGCTGGTTATGCTGGTTACCATCATATTGGTAGCTTGAAATCATCCATGATGACCATGTACACCACAGATGCCGAAAAAACAAAAAATAAAAGGGTTTCCACCCCCCCCCCCCCCCCCCCAGAAAACCAGTTAAACATTGCCCAGCATACCTCTGCAAAGTTCCCATGTGGATCCCGGCACAGGTACTGGGCTCTAGCCCTCTGCTGCACCTGTCACCAGGAAATATACTAAGGTGCCATGAACCCTGATGATTGGCAGAGGCAGCAGGTGGGTGCCACACCTGTTCTTGTGAGCATATGAGATGCACAGGAGAGTGTGGGGCTGGACTGACATTTGGGAGTCAGTCAGGACCAGCCTGATTCCAGGCCACGTACACACCCCATGTGGGGAGAACCCAGTTCCAGGGTCCCCTCAGCAGCAGCTGCAGTGGTCCCAGCACCCCACCGGCCTGGCCTGCAGTCACACCCTTGCTCCTCCCCCAGCACATCCGCGTGGGCTGGGAGCAGCTGCTCACCACCATCGCCCGCACCATCAACGAGGTCGAGAACCAGATCCTCACCCGCGACGCCAAGGGCATCAGTCAGGAGCAGATGCAGGAGTTCCGGGCGTCCTTCAACCACTTTGACAAGGTGAGCAGCTCCCTCTGCCCCTTGGCGTCTTCCCTCCCTGCTGTCACCGCTGTCACCGTCCCATCTTGCCCACTCCGTCTTTGCATCTGTCCGTTCCTTCATATCACTGTTGCTGAGTGTTGGCTGCTGCTCATGGGCTGGCGGGGCCTCAGCCACGGAAAGGGGTGCAGAGGTGCATCACCTTGACCTACAGCATGATTAGTTTCCCTCGGGAGGATAAGGGGGGCTCCTGAGCCCTTTCTCTGGGGCTGTGCCAATGAGACCCTGGGACTGAATAAGTCCCAGCACACCCGAGATTTGAGACCTGGCCTGTGAATCTGGTCACACATACACATAGTGTTCCTAAAATTAAGATTTGTTCTGACAACCCCTTTAGAAGGGCCTGAGTCTAGAGTTTGCCCCAGTCTCATCCACCCTGTGCTGGCCTGATGTCATCTGCCTTCCTTCTGCCTCTGGGTAGGAGTGTGCAACCTCAGCCCTGCACTGTCAGACAGGGACCCTGACCTCCCAAGCAGGGAGGGGTGCAGCCCGCTTTCCCCCACCCCAAACGCTGGAGGCGAGGTGCGCTCGCACTCACTCCGAGTCCTAGGACTCAATCCTCAATCATGCACCACTCAGCCCCCATCCCGCTCTGGCCCAGAGGAGGTGAGGGGAGGCCTCTGACTGCCCTTCAGGCCACCATGCCCCTCCACCTGCCCCAGCCATCCCTGGTCATCACCTTGTCCATGTCACCTCTAACTCTGTGTTTCCCTCCCCCATGTGTTCCCCTCCCCCTGCCCTCTGCATGTGACCCTGGCCCCTCTCCCACCTCTGCGCTGGCCTGGTCTCCACACCGCCCCTTGCACACCTGCCTTCGGACGCCCGGCAGGACCACGGCGGGGCACTGGGGCCGGAGGAGTTCAAGGCCTGCCTCATCAGCCTGGGCTACGACGTGGAGAATGACCGGCAGGTACGCGCCCCCTGGGCCCCAGCAGACCACGGCATTAACTGCTCTTCTCTCTCTCTCTCTCCTTCTCTCTGTCTCCCCTCCCTCACCATTTCCACCTTTTCCGTTGTGTGTTCCATCTCACCGGCGCTCTTGCCTTCTCCCTACCTGTGTCTATCTGGACACCTTCCCCCTTACCTGGTCTCTCGGGGCCGCCTCTGTCTCCCCCGCTCCTGCCACTGTCCTGTTTTCCCGCTGTGCACATGGGGCGGCCCCTCTTGTCTACTCTGGGCCTGGCCTTCTCTGCTGTCCCTGCGTCCTCGAGCAGAAGCAGACAGGCAGCATGGACTCCGATGACTTCAGGGCTCTGCTTATCTCCACAGGATACAGCCTGGTATGCAGCCTCTGCCTCCCTCGCTGCTGTGCCGCGCCTCCTCTTCTCCCCTCCTCCCCCTCCTGTCCCTCCTCCCCTTCCTCCTCCTCCTGCTCCTCTTCGCACCACCCCCAGTTTCCAGGTCCTCGGGGACACCCCTCCACCAGAGCAGTGCAGCCTCAGCTCCCCCCTCCTCCTCGGCTGCATCTGCTGGGCTGGGGTCCCTCCGATGACTCCCTGAGCCTCCCACCTCCTTTCTGGAGTCTCTGGAGAGAGGAGGTCAGACTCTGGCTCTCTTCCCCTTTCTTTCTCTTTCTCTCTTTCTTTCTCTCTCCCCCCCACCCCAACCCCCTCCAGAGCTAACTTGTGAGCCTAGCGCTGAGGAGCAGCAGACATGTTTGATCTACACCTCACTCCCCACTTCCCAAAAACATGGGAGGAGAGGGGAGGAGCAGTGGGGGACCGTCCCTGGTCTGGGGCACATGGGGCAGTCAGCTTGGGGGGCCAAGATCCTCGGAGGCAGGGTGACGACACAGCATGCATGCCAGGGCCAGGCCCTGCCCTCCTGGCTGGGTTCAGCTGGCGGGGCCTGGCCACCCTACCCCGCTCAAAAGCTGCCTTTCCCCTGCCCCACTCCCCCCTCGCAGGGCGATGCTGAGTTCAACCGAATCATGAGCGTGGTTGACCCCAACCACAGCGGCCTCGTGACCTTCCAAGCCTTCATCGACTTCATGTCCAGGGAGACCACCGACACAGATACGGCTGACCAGGTCATTGCCTCCTTCAAGGTCCTGGCCGGGGACAAGGTAAGCCAGACACCCCAGAGCACCTGGGGCTGGCAGGGAGGGGCCCTGCAGCCAGGGCTGGGTATGAGGGGCTGGGGGACCAGTGTGGGGTGCAGGGAGCTCAGAATCCCGCCCTGCCGCCCCCAGAACTTCATCACAGCCGAGGAGCTGCGGAGAGAGCTGCCCCCCGACCAGGCTGAGTATTGCATCGCCCGCATGGCGCCGTACCAGGGCCCTGATGCTGTGCCTGGTGCCCTTGATTACAAGTCCTTCTCTACAGCCCTGTATGGCGAGAGCGACCTGTGAGGGCTCCAGAGAGCCCCGAACGAGCATCCCTCCTCACCGCCTCCAGGAGGGGCTGGTGGAGCCATCTGTGTCTGCCCCTCTCTGCGCTGTGGGGCCTCCCTGGTCCGTTCCCCTGACTCTGTATCTATGCAAAGCATTCTGTCAGTCCTTTGGGGGTGGCTGGGAGGGGCTGGGGCCGGCTCTCTCCTCTCTCTGTGGTTGGCCAGGGGGTTCTCTCCCCTCCCAATGGATAGGGGACAGGAGACTTTCGGGGTCAGCCCTTCTGGTCTGGTAAATATATATATTGTTTTTTTGTTGTTGTTTTTTAAACTGTGGAGAGGACAGTGAGTCCCCACAGCAAAACAGGTCCCCTCCTAGCCCTAGGAACGTCCTCCACACCCTGTCCCTTCTTTTGCTCGGAGGTCCCTCCAAGGCCTCCCACATCCAGGCCAAAGCCCTATGTGCCTTGTCCAGGAACCACCCGCACGTGAGATGGGCCCAGCAGAGGGCGCCACAGCTACCCCACAGGAAAGAGGACCCCCACCCTGCTCCCTTTACCCCTCACCCCTCCTTTGCAATTGCCAGGAGATGAGGGGGTGCAGCGCAGCACCCCCGTTTTCTGCAGCAGAGGAGTGGGGTTGGGCTGACCAGACTTTTCCTCCTGCCCCCCACCAGCCCCCACCTTGCTTTGTCTAGACCTGCGTCTCTCTCAGATTTTCTAAGGACCAAAAACAAACAAAAAAACCAAAAAAAAAAAAAAAAAATCACAAAAAAAGCTATAAAAAAAGAATTAAAAACTTTCAGAGAATTACTATTTACTTTATTAACTTACGGATTTATTATATAAATATATATTCACCTAGCAACATATCTTTGCCGCCTCTTGCTCTCATAATGAAGACATAGCTGATTTGCTCCCCTCCCCCCCCGCCCCTTACTGATTTTTCTGTTGTCTGTCATCAGGCATGGGTCTCTGGGGACCCTCCTGAGGTGGAGGGTGGGCTGCTGGCCTGGCTGCCTGTTAGTTGATGGTTTTGCTCCCTATCTCCCATCCACCCCACCCCCTTTTTTTGAGTTTATTCTGATTGATTATTTTTTTCTCGGTTTCTGGATAAACCACCCTTCTGGGGACAGGATAATAAAACATGTAATATTTTTAAGAAGGAGTCCTACAGTGTCCTCTCTTTTTCTCCTCTCTCTGTCCTCCACTTCTTAGCAGAGCAGTGATAGAGCACCTTTTCCCAGAGTGAGGTGGGGCCTGCGCGTGCCACGATCCCCGTTCCCATGAGTGTGTAAACATAAGACTGTTGTTGGGGACCCAGTGTGGGCCAGGCACTGTTCTAAGCGAGTGACATTGACTAACTCACGTAGCCTGCCCAAGAAAGGTGCCGTTGCCATCCCTGTTCACAGGTGAGGCGAGCAAAGCACAAGGAAGTGCAGCACTTGCCCAGCTGGTGAGGGGTGGGACCAGAAATCCACCCCAGGCAGGCTGGCTCCTGAGACCATGCTCTCAACTACCACTTAATGCCAGAGCATCAGCCTCCCCATGCCAGGCAGGGAGGTGGAGGGGTCGGAGCAAGTTGGTTTTGCTCAGACCCCTCTTGCTGTGGAATAAACTCTGGTCCAGGCTGGCAGAGGGAAAGGCGGGGCTCCTGGCAGCTCTCCCACCTCCAGCTGCAGGTGCTCCTGTGCCAGCATCCTAGGAGAAGGTGGCCACCTCCATCCACTGGGCGAGAGAAGACAGCGGGCTTGAAGCAGAGGCCTCCCAGGACTCCTGCCATAGCTGCCCTGCACCACCCTCGCCCTCCAGCCCAGGCTCACCTGGCTGCGGGTCAGGCAGATGACCCCCTCACCCCCATCCAGGTGCTGGCTGCAGTGGCCTGTGCAGAGTGGGGGGGTGGGTAAGCACCCGCCACCCCAGTTGCCCCACTGTGGGAGACAGCCTCCCTCTGCCCCACCTGTGCAAGGGCTGGTACTCACGGAAGATGCAGGTGAGCTGGGCCACACAGGACACAAAGCGCTCGAAGTCCACACGCAGACGGCTATCCCGGTAGCGGCTAGTGAGAGCCTGGGTCAGCTGGTTGTTGAGGTGGAAACCTAGGGGGAGGCCACCTCTGAGCCTGAGCTGCTGTGAACCCCACCCCAACTCCCCAGGGAGACAAACCACAGGGCCTGTCTCCAACTCTCAAACCCCAGCTGTGTGGCTACAGCAGCTTCCTTCATGTCTCTGGGCCTGTTTCCTCATCTGTCAAATGCGGACAACAGCTCCGACCCTGTAGGGTTGTATGAAGACGTTCTATGCAGAGAGTTTAGGACAGTGTCTGGCACATACCAACTCTGCTGTTACTCCTTTAAACTGCAGAATTTCTGCTAGTGGACACTTGGGAATGTTTCTGTGCAGCAACATTCTTGTCAGTCCCACTTGGAGTCAATTTATTAATACTCCACATCAAGGTCAATTTCTAAAGTTGAGAAATAATCTCTGATGAGTCTCAACAGGCTCCTAAAAGCCACAAACACTGGTTTTCGAGGGTCACAGGTAATCCTCCGGGACTCGAGGCTGCAGGGTGACTCTCCCTCCGAGCCCCACTTGTCCAAACAGTTCAAGGATAATTTCATGGGCCGCTGCTGCCTCCTAAAGCCCATCTCCCACCCCCCTCTCCCCACTCTGCATTCTTTTAACACGTTTGTCAAGTGCCATCACATGCTGTGCCTAGGTCTCGCTGCGGTTGGGTAACAGTCTTGGGGGGTGGGGGGGCTGCGGAATTCCTGTCCTTTCATGGAAACGACTTCCTCCGACAACTCTCTTGGGCTCTATGGCCTGTGGTGCCTGGTGTGGGGTCCTGCCCAGGGTCCGCTGGTACTTGTGAAGCCCCTCACCTAGTTTACTGGGCCCTCGTGACCATGACCTCCTGGTTACCTGTTGCCAGTGCCCCATTGTCCCGAGCTGCCTGGTGGCACCTCGTCTCCCTCCTCCACTTGGGCTTTGTCTTGCTCCCTGTGTACTGCTGTTCCCTCTGCCCAGAACACCTTGTCCTCTCGGACCAGGGCATTCCCACTCATCTAACACTCCTTCAGGAAGCTTTTGAAGACACCCCCCAGCACATCGAGTACCTCCTCTGGGCTGCCACCGCTCTCTGTGCCTCCCCTGTCCCCTCCCTGACCACTCTGGGCTGTCACTGTCATGGGTGGCTCTGGCGGCCTCTGGACTGGAAGCCGTGGGAGGTGAGGGAAGGTTTTCTGGTCACCACTGAACTCCCGGCATCAGCCTGGTCTCCAAGAACATGCTTCCTGCCGGCCCCCTCCCTGGCTCTCCCTCCTCCAGACACGGCTCCAGCCCCACAGACTGACCCTGGACTTGCCTCTGCCTCTTCCCTCTCGTACATACTAAAAATTTTAGACAGCTGAGGTCCTCATAAGGCCTCATGGGGGCTCTGTCTCCCCACCAATCTTTCCTCTGACCACCTGCTCCTCCCCACTTGGCTGCAGCCTCGCGGCACCCTTTCCTCATCTCCATCCCTGGGCCCTGCCTTCACCTGGCTCCCTCCACACCTCAGGGCCTTTGCACTGCCTGTTCCCTCTGTCCAGACGCTCTTGCCCCCAGTGTCCCAAGGCTCACTCCTTCAAACCTCAGCAAGGCTCAATGCCCCCACCCCCACCCCCCTGCATGCCCTATGGCCCTGGCCTGCTTCCTTTTTCTGCCACAGCACGTATCACCATCTGACCTGTGTGTCCTATTTGTTGTCTGCCTGTGCCACCAGAATGTCAGCCCCTCAATGACTTGATCAGTCTTCTCTGCCTAGGACAGCAGGCCCATACCAGCCACTCAGTGATACTGAATAACTGGTACACACTCCATCTTCCCCTCATTCTCTCTCACCCCTGCTTCTGTCTGTGTGGGACTCTATTTCTCACTGTCCCACGTCTCCTCATGTTTCAGACTCCATCCTCCCCCCCTCTGTTTTGGGCTCCTTTCTTCCCTTGTGTGTCCCTGGATCTTTGACCTCCCCATGTCTCACCCTTCACTTTGCTGTGGCAGAGGAGCCCCGGGGTAGGTGGGGATCTGGGAGTTCCTGTCTGATTCCCCCCAGCCCCCTCCACACAAGGGGTAAGGTCGCACTCTTGCAGCCACCCTGTGTCGGAGCTTTACAGAGGGAAACAGAGGCCCAAGGAGGTAAATTCATGTGCCCAGGGCCACCAAGGAGTAAGTCAGTAGTAAGGATTCCAACCCAAGCTCAGAGGAGTCCAGGACATTCTGCCGTGGTTCCCCGAGGACACCAGCTCCCACGTCTCCCCTCCCAGGATGCCCTGAGCCCTCCCCAGCGCCCTCCCAGGCCCAGCCCCTTCTCACACCCTCATTTCCCCACACAGACTCTCAGGGTCACCCAGTCCTTGCCGAAGGCTGACAACAAGCCAAGGTGTCAGCTTTGTGGATGGCAGCAGCTGAGTGGGCAGCTGGGATTCTGAGAGAACCAGAGGGCAGGAGGGGGAGCCAACCCTGTCCCCACAACCCACCCCAGGACCTTTGTACCTGCAGCATTCAGCGCCAGCCTCAGCTCATGGGAGTTCATAGTTCCAGAGGCGTCCTGGTCGAACTTGTCGAATATGGCCTGTGTGAGGAGGACTCGGTCAGTCCCGCCCCCAGGCCCCTGAACTCCCTGAAGAGGCCTGAAATGGGGACTCAGGGGCCAGAGAGCTTGGGCTCCCGCCCCAACTCCCTTTCTTCCTGGCTGCACACCCTAAAGCTTCACCACTTTGGGCTTCTGTTTCCCAATCTATAAAATGGAATCAACGGTAGCAGGTGTAACAAGGACATTGTGAGGACAAGTTAAGACTCTACCCACTAGGGACCTAGTGAGGGCTCAATAAATGGTGACTTATTACTATTAGTATGGAGAAACCTTGGACCATTTTCTCCTCACATGGATGGTGTGGTGGGGGGTGGGGAATCACCGCCTCCCATTGGTAGGCAAGCAAAGGCCCCTCGGAAGGGAGGCGACTGGCTTGAGGTCACACAGCCAGAAAAGGGCTGAGCTGGGAGTTGGGATGACAGCCCAGGACCAGAGCCTGTGCTCTTTCTTGATCCCTGAGCTGTTTAGTGCCCTAGAGGGACCACAGAGGGTGATGGGGCAGGGATAACCCAGCCAGAACCCTCCAAGTTGGTGTGGTGTGGTCCAGTCACCTTTCTCCCTTTGGGCCCTGCTAGCCCACAGAGCACCCATGCCCTGTTAGTAAAGTGCCTCTCCTTCCAGGAAGAGGTGGGTCCACCCAGCCCCCCACCTTACCTGCCACTCCTGGAGGCGGCTCCAGAGCTGCTGGAAGTGGTGCAAGGCCAGGCTTCGCCCGTGCTGGGATGGGACATCTGGTTAAAGTCAATGTCCCCAAAAGGGGAGCAGAGGCCCCAACATCCCCATTTTCTCCACCCAGGACCGGCCCGCATCATATACCCCAAAACACTGCAGCAGCTGCTCACAGGTCCTGAGCCCGATCTCTCTGGAGGTCCAGGTGTGTGCCCTGGCTACAGGAAACAAACAAAACCCCTGAACTTCCTGTGGGCTGGCCATCGTTGTGAGTGTTAGGGATTACTGCATCCTCATTTTATAGAAACTGAGGCACAGAGAGCCAAAGGAGTGCTGGTAACTAACAGAGCTGGGATTTGAACTCAGGCAATGGTGTTCCAAATGCCAGCAGCCACTCTCCCTGCCTCTCCCTTAGAGGATGGCGGCTTATAAGAAGCCATGGTCTTGGCGACTGGTCCTGCCACAGGACCCAAGTGTGAGGAGATGCTATCAGGCTGAACCCATGTTTCCCACGGCCTAACTCCCAGCAGCATCCTGGATTAACACACACAGAGCAATGGTCTCCAACTCACCAGGCTCCAGGGCAATGCTTAATAAGGTCTGGAGCTGAGAGGCACTGAGTTCTTCCTCCTGGTCAAGGAGAGAGCGGGTTGTGAGGCCATTCGCTCAGGCAGCATTCAACTGGCGGCTCTGGGCCTGGCCCAAACAGCATGCTGGGTGGCGCTGGGGACACAGTGAGTCCGGCCCTGCCCTCTTAGAGCCCAAGGTCCAAAGAGAGTGGTCAGGGCTGCCATGGGGAGCACTGGGTTGTGGGAGCCCACGGTGCGCATGCAGCTGACCAGCCTGAGGGAGGGTCAGGAGAGTTTCCAGCAAAGGGCACATGAGAAAAATGAGGGTTTAGCCAGAGTGGGAAGTGAAGGAGACAAGGCAGCCGGGTGAGGTACAGACTGAGAAGGCCCTCAGGCAGGCAAGAGCTGTGAGCGTTCTGAGAGAAGGTCATGAAATTTAGGGTGGGGGCGAGCTCAGGGGGAAAGGATGGGACCCCCCCCTTAGCCCTGTCCCCCCTCCTCACCTCTCCTGCCAGCTCCTGAAACAGCTGTTCCAACCGCAGCTCCAGGGGAATGAAGGGAGCCTGCAGGGTTGGGGGAGTTTAGGTCTGGCCAAGGGGGTCCCCACCCCACCCCGGCGTCGTGCTCCCTCACAGAGCAGCCCCTCACCCTGAGGGCGTGAAGATCCGCGCTGATCACGTCGTCGATCTCCCTGCAAATTACAGACCAGAAGTGGGGAAGGGGCTGCTCACCCCGCACCTGGGGTTAGGGGCCCGCGGGATCTCAACCCGGGGGTCAGGTGGGGTCTAGGCAGGATCTTGGGGCCCTGGGCTGAGCCAGGGGGCTGGGGATTCCGGACGTAGGTCAGGGGGCCCGGGCTCACACGGCGGTGTGGCGGCGCTCGGAGAAGATGCGCAGCGTGAAGTCGGCCTCCTCGCCAGCACGGGCAGCGCTGGGCACCACCAGGTAGTGGCCGGGGCGCAGGCGGCAGCGGCGGCTGACGTCGCGTCGGGCGCACAACGGCGAGCGGTCGGCGCGCAGCAGTTTTGGCAGGAGCGCGCGACTGTGCGGGGTGTCCCAGAGTCCCAGCAGCTGGGGGGGGGGGGGGGACAGGCGCCGAGTGACCATGACCGCCCAAGTTCACCCCACCCAGCCGTCCACTCACAGCACCCCTCCAGACTGCCGGGTGTAAACCGACTCATCCTCCCATCAGCCAAGCACATCCCGGGCCTTCCCTGCCCCAGTACAGGTTGTCCGAGCCCCTGGGGTGGATGGAGTCTGGAATCTGGGGTCCCATCTGAGACCCACCTCCTCTGGGATCTGTCAGAAGGAAGAGCGAGGGAGTCAGGGCCAATGGGGAAGTGGCCACTCCTGAGTCCCCTCCTTGCCGCCCCCCCCCCCGCCTTTTCTTCTTATTTTCTTCCCTCATTAAGCCCCTGGCCCTCAGTCCCTGTCCCAGCCCCTCTTTGACCCCTCCTGGACCTGTCCATCCCTGTCCCTTCTCTGCTCCTGTCCCTCCTTGATCTTCAGCCTCCCCACCCCTTCTCTGACTCCTTCCTGACCCTTCTGACCCCTAGCCTCTCTCTGCTCTTCCTAGCCTCTCAGTCTCTCCTTGACCCGCCTCTGATTCTCTCAGCTGCTCAGCCAGGGGGCCCACCTGGAACACATGGAAGCACACAGTGAGGTAAGTGAGGCCCTGGGCCCTGAGGCAACGCCGGTTTCGCTGGATGAGTGACAGGAGGACAGTGCATTTGGGAACTCGGCCCCCTTGAGCAGGGCCCCTTGCCCTTCCTGCGCCCCAGCCCCCCCAGGGCCATTCCTCATCATCCTCTTCTTCCTCATCAGGCTCCAGCAGTGTCAGCCGGAACTGGGGGTTGGTCCAGAAGGTTTCTAGTAGAGGAGAAAGAAATGGAGTTATCTCAGCTGCCACAGGCCCCTTACTTGCCTCTCAGGGTCCCATCCAGGCCTCACCAGAAGTAGGATGGCTCCCGCCAGAGTTGAAACCTCGCACCCAGCGGCCTTGGAAGAGATGGATGTGCCAGCCGCCTCCAGCAGGGCTGGGGCCTAGCACCTCAGGGCTCAGCGAGCAGATCTGGACAGTGTTGAAGTGGCGGAGGAAGTCCTGCAGCTCCATCCTGGACAGTGGTCGGCAGTCAGACCCTGCCCAGCCCCCACCTCTCCAGGGTCCCAGCCTCCCAAGTATCTCAAGACCCTACTGTGACCCCCCAAATCACAAAGCCTCCCAAATTCCTCAGATATTATTGCCAAGGACCTTTCAGTCCACCAAACAGTATCCTGTCTCCAGAATGACCCCCAAACCTCTGAGCCCTCCAGCTCCCGGAGATTTCTCCAACTCCTCAGAAATGCCCCCACAAATAGCCAAGATCCACAAGTTCCCTTCAAATATTGTGAAATTGTCTTCAGATCCCAAATATCAAGACCCTCAGATTCTCAATTACCAACAAATACCGTTCAGACCTTCAATATTGCCAAATTTCAAGAAATGCCCCGGATGTCACCAAAACCCCTCCATTGCTCTAAATATTACCCATCCCTCTTCAGCTGCCCCCCCCAGAGAATACTATGCCTTCAAATCCCCCTAATATCATTATTAATTCTTCCTCGACTTCCCCAGATAGAACCCCACTCCAAAATTACTGCTGATATGGACAGACTCTCCCCATTAGGGACCCCTCTGCATGAACGCCAAGTAAGACTCCCCAGTTCTGAGCCTCACTGGCGGGCACCTCGGCCCTACTCACCAGAACTCACCATCCTCTTTCTTCAACAGCAGGGCATCTCGCCACTCAGTGGGGAGCGCGTCCCAGCGTGGGCAGCTGGAGAGATGGGGGTGTGAGGGGTGGGGGTGGGGCCCAATCCCCCACCACCACTCCAGATCCATCCCACCTGTCACTCCAGGCCCCGGTCCATTCCACGCGGCCCCATGGGTTCCGCAGCCGCAGCAGCCGCACCTTGGTGAAGCCCAGCGACACCTGAGGGCAGCATTGTCAGTGGGGATTGGCACCTGGACATCCCCTGCCAGCCCACCCATGGAAGATGCTCACCTTGTGTGTGCCCGTGACTGAATACGCATGTCCCTTCACCAACCCGTCTTCTGTACGATGCTCACCCCGATCACTCTGGGCAGAGGACAGGAGATGGTGAGGCCCCAGCAGGGTACAAGAGGGTGGTTGATCCTCTCTGCCTCCCCCCCCACCCCCACCGACCGTCTGCCACCAAAGCGGGAGTCAACCAAAGCACCCAGCTGAATGGCACAGGGATCTGAGAGAGGGGGTGGGAGTTGGTGAGTGAAGGCGAGAGAGGAAGCAGAGAAAGGGAGATGGAATCAAGAGACAAAAATAGAAAGAGAAAGAGAGAGACAGAGATATAGAGATAAAAGAAAGATATAGAACAGACAGAGGGAGATGGAAAGAGGCAGAGAAACATAAAAGACAAAGTGAATCAGTCAGTAACTGAATATAGGATGCAGTAAATGAATAAGTGAATGAGTTAGACCGACTCAGTGAATGAATGAATGAATGAATGAATGAATGAATATGTAATCGGGTCACAGATAAACATATGACCCAGGATGAGCCCATGAAAATCAATCCTGGGGCTTTTGTTGAAACTCTCAAAAAGAGGCACCCTCAGGGTGGTGGGCGGTATCTGTGGGTGCTTCTTTTGTGCCCAATGGGGGGAAACCTGCCTGAGTGAAGCTAACCCAGAACCAGGAATAGAAAAACACCTTCACAACGCCTGCTAAGCACCTGGTTCCCACTGTGCCCGAAGCTCATTCGTTCTGAGAGCAAATAAATGTCCTTTTGACTTGCTCATGTTTGATTTGTGAGAGAGAATAAGCCAATAGTGAAAGACAGGAGGACATGGACGCCTCCCTCTCCAGCTGTGACTGTGTGCTGGTCCTGGTGGAGGCGGGTGGGTCTCCATGGGAGTCTGACTCTCTTACCAGGGCAGTGGCGCCCACAAGGGACTCCTTGGCCAGGGCGTGACGCAGGGCTGAGAAGAGGCCTGGGGTGTCTTGCCTCAGGTAGAGCACCTCACCCACGCCGCCTGTGAAGTCCACGAAAGCTTCATTCATGTGACCGCCTCGCATCACCTCATAGGAGCCGTGGAGCCTGTGGGAGCAGGTCTGGGGTAGGGGTGTCTGAGGTGCATACGAGCACCTCGGCAACCCCTGGGACCTGGGGGTCTCTGTTCCAGTGTGTGGGGTCCCAAGGGCTATCCCTGAAATTTGCAGACTCTTGAAGTGAGGGACTGTGGCACCCTTGGAAATCGAGGCTCTGGTCTGTGGGCCACCAGGACTGCAAGATTTGGGGGTCACAGGAGAGCGCTGTCAGAATTTTGGGCATCCTGGGGACTGTGTCTGAAACTTTAAGTCTTTGGGAGATAGATGTCTGCTTTGGGGGTAATCCCCATGGGGCTTGCCAGGGAATTTAGATCCTAAGGATGGGGAAAAGTAAAGATTTGAGGGTCCCAGGTCTTACACTCAATATATTGGGGGTGCTTTAGGTTTCTGATGGATCAGGAGAGATTGTCTGAGATTACCGGTCCCCCAAGGGGATAAATCTTAGATTTGGTGACACCGGGGCCTGATAAGAGATTTCAGGCTCCTTAAGAATTCTGGGTGTTTGGCGGGTCTCTGGGAATATTTTATGCGCTATGTGATACAGGGAGGTGTTTACGATTTGGAGGTCCTCAGGAGATGGTGTGACGTGAGGGCCTCAGGGACTGTCTTGGTTTGGGATCCTTAGTGGGATGTCTAGAGGATCCTAGAAGTTGGGGGTTTCCAGGGGGTCCCATGTGACTGGGACCTGCTGGCTGAGACTTGGGGTCGCAGCCGGAGGGGTTGGGTGGGGGCGTCCTTACTTGGCATAGGCCTTTTCCAGGAGGGGGGCCCAGAACTCATTCCGCTGTTCTGAGCGCACGAACATCAGCTTCCCCTCACGCACAGGCAGCTTGTCATCCACCACGACGTCCACCCAGTGGCCGAACTGCCAGAGCTGGAGAGGGAAGGGGCAGGGCCCAGGCTCAGCTTCCAACCTCCAGCCCCACCTGGGCCCCAGCCTCTGACCCCTGACCCTGCTGCACACATCCAAGAATTCCAGCCTCAAGAGAACAATGTCAACTATGGAATCCATGTCACTTGGGGGGAAACTGAGGCATGAGCAGAGGAACCGAGCTTTACCTGGAAGTGGAAGACACCCGCGTAGCCATCTCGGAAACCCTGTCCAGGAGGGACCACCCGGCACAGGAGTCGGGGGTACAGAGTGAGGGAGGCAGCAGCCGCAAGAAACCAACAGTTACCTGAGAGGAAAGAGGAAGACTGAGGCTCAGGGGGGAAGAGACTGAGGGGGAGGGGGAGGGGTGCAAAGGGGGAAGATTGCGGGCAGAGCTGTCAGGGTTTTAGCTGCAACTTGCAGAATCGGGGGCTCAAGATGTGTTCAGTGGTCTCACCCAGGCTCCCCTGACACACATCTGTCCGGCTCATGTCCTCACAGATGAACGTAGGCTCAGCACAAAACTCCTGGAGGGTGATGGGAATTCCAGGCCTCAGCCAGGAAAGGAAAGGAAGGAGCAACTGGGAGGTCAGACACCTGGGTCCTCTCCTGCCCTCACTGCTCCAGAGTAATGAGCGCCTCCAACCCCATGAGACGCTTGTAAAGCCTGCAGGCAGCCATCGCCTTCCCTGGACCTCCCTGGACCCAGAATGGCTGAGCCTGCTCTGAGCTGGTCCCACAGTGACCCCTCCTCCCTCAGACCCAGGAGCCCAGGCCCCCAGCCCCTCCTCCCTCAGACCCAGGAGCCCAGACCCCCAGTCCCCTCCTCCCCCAGACCCAGCCAGAGCCCAGCCCTCAGCCACACTTTACATGGGGCCTCATCCATTTCACCCCTTTGGCCTTCTCCGAGTCCGGCCCCAGCTGGTCATAGCCAAGGGCATCAGGGCCAGCAGGGAAGTAGGGATCTCGGAAAAGGATCCCCTCATCCAGGCAGGCTGCTCGGATTGCCTCATAGCTCTGGCCTCGAAAGAGCTTTGGGCCCCCAGCTCCAGGTGCTGCTTCATCCACCAGTTGGATGGTGACCTTCCTGCTGCCACACGCCATCCGGACACTCTGGGCTCCCAGGCTGGCCCCTGGCCCTTTAACCTCCTGAGTCATGGGGGTGGAGCCTCCCCTCCATCTGAGCCCCATGGGGGTCTTTAGGCAGTGAGGAGTCTTCCCTTATTAATATTAATTGATGGTTTGGAGTGTGAGGCAGCAGGGACGCCTCTTCAGTGGTTTACTCCCCAAGGCGTGAGGCCTTCAGTTGTGGCGAGGGTAGCAGCTTAATGGGCTTGGACAGCAGCAGGAGGGAAGGTGGGCAGAGCTGAGGGAGGACCAGCTGCCACTGTGGAAGTGCCTAGAAGGAGGTCAGTGTGGGGGTTGCATTTTGGCCAGCTTATCCCTGCATGTCTCCCTCTGTAGGGCTGGGAGGTTGGTGTGTCTACTGCTGTGTCTCTCCCCCTCTGCAGCTGACAATTTCTCTCTCTGCTTGGCATTGTATCTCTCTTCTCCATCTCAGCTTCACTGTTCTTCTCTGTCCATCTCTCTCATCTCCTTTTGTCTTTCTCTGTTTTTTTGCTTGTTTGTCTCTGTCTGTGTCTCTCTGTATCTCTCTTGTCTCCATCCTTCTCTCTTTGTCTCTCCTGCTTTCTGTGTCTCTGTTTCTCTCTGTTCCTATCTTGTGCATACCTCACTGTCTGTCCCTCTCCATCTTTCTCTCTGTCCTTGTAACCCCTCAACCACCACAGCGGGACCCTGAGATGTCAGGATCCCCGTCCCCGACAAGGCAGACCTCAGCTGGTTGCTCCAGGCAGGGCTGACCCTGGAAGGGCTGCTCTGCACCTATTTTCCCTGGGCTGGGAGCCGGGCCTCCAGTGACCATGACACCCTGCCCTGCCCACACAGGGCTCAGGGTCTGGTGGAGCAGTATTTTCCCCAAAGGATACTGGAGCCATTGGAGAGGAGAAAGAGGAAGAAGAGGAAGAAGAAACAGTTTCTGAGAGGCCAGAAATTCAGTTTTTGTCTCAGCAGACCTTCCATCCTCGCAGGGGAGTCTCCTGCGATAACAGAATTGTGTCACCTCGGGGCCGGCCGAGTGGCGCGATGGTTAGGAGCTGGCTTGGGACACCAGAGGACCCCGGTTCGGATCCCACATATGAGGGCCAGTGACACTGCCCTCCACAGCTAAGATGCTGAACAACAGCTCAACCTGGAGCTGGGCTGCCATGAGTCGCCGGCGACGGCGTGGGCTGCAGTCCCTGTGGCAGTGGATTGCCATGGGCTACCGTGTGTAGCCAGCAGCCAGCGTAAGCGGCCAGCAGCCGCCCTGAGCGGCCATCCAGAAGCCGGCGACTGATCTGCCTCGCCAGAGAAGAGCACAATGATGGTGCCAGCTTGGGCCAGTGAAGCAACATCCTCCACAACTAGACTGAAGAACAGAAGGACAGCAACTTATCTGTTCCGCTTCCCCCAATTTCCCAGCACTGTTCCCATCCTCCCAATTCCCCAATAAAAATCTTAAAAAAAAAATAAAGAAAGAATTGTGTCACATCTGTGGCACCCAGATGTCTCTCCGTCCTCTGGCATCTTTCCCTCCAAATGGACCAACAGATATTACCTTAATCCCGCAGCTGTGTGGCCACCAAAAAAGGGCTATGAAATAGGTTTTCTTCTTGTAAAATTGCCAAGACCCCCCCACCCCCACCTCCATAATGTAGCAGGTGACAGTGGTTAGAAGCACGTGCCAAGGTTAGGACTCAGAGGACCTGGGTTTGAATCCCAGCTCTAACACTAAGAACTGTGTATCTTGGACAAGTCACTTAACCTCTTTGTGCCTCATCTCTACAATGGGGGTAATAATAGGACCTACTTTGGAGGGTTGTTGTGAGCAAATGGGTTAATATGTGGGACATGCTCAGAGCAGTGCCTGACACAGAATAGGTGGTCGATAAATATTAGATGTTATGACTACATCCTGCGGTCCCATCCATGGTCACCTATCACCTCTGGCCACTGTTTCTGCCACTTCCAAGGTCACCTCTGCCATCCCACTATCTGTTCTCCACAGTCCCACCCCATGGGGTCAAAGTCCTCTCCCCTTTATTTGCTCCAAATTACCACCAACAGTAGGAGGAAGCTTTTACCAAAACCTGACTGACATCTTACGGTGACCAGAAAACGATTACTGGTGAAAACTGCCCGACAGATCATCCCACCATTGGTCCGCTGACTTCCCTCCTCTTCCTGTGGGTCTGGGTCCACAGGCCCCTCTGCTCCTCATAGGTCCCTGCTGGCTGCCAAGTTGCAGGGCTCTGGTCACATCCCACAAACACGTTCTCTTGATCATCACTTCTGTTTTTGTTTTGTTTATTTTTTAGCTGCGCCATCCTGCCACCTGTTGGCAGCTCAGCAGCAGCTCAGCTCCGGCAGAGAATCGAACTGCTGTTGCTCAGAGCTCACACTCTTGAGTGAGCTCTTAACCAACTGAGCCACTCGGCTGGCCCACTTGATTATCACTTCTTACATCCAGAGTACCAAATATGCCTTTCCCTGCAAAGGTAAGAAAACGCACTGATGTCATTGTAGATGTTTGCTGCTTTCTGAGCCCAGCATTCCCTACCTCTTTTTCTGGAAGCAGCAACCCTATTATGTTTTTTAAAGATCCACCTTATTCTTAAGCCTTGAGACTCTGGTAGGGCTGGCCCCTCCCCACAGCTCCAGGAAAGGGCGTTTGACCCAGACCAGCCAATGGGAGCAGCGCACCCCTGGCCACGCCCCCCTCGTTCCGAGCCAGGGAGACTCAGGGCGGGATTTCTCTTTCCCTGGGGCCACTGAGCTGGCGGGATGCAAACCCGGAGTGGCAGGATTCTACCTTGGCCACGTTGTCAGAAAACCCTGTATGAAAATGACGACAACGCGGAGCAAAGCAGAGTGAGGCGATGGAGAAAGAGACAAGATTCCCACAAGTATAGAGCCTGTCAATCCGGATGCACTTGAAATCAGACTTTTACAATGAAGGAGCCAATAAATTCTGCTCTTCTCTTTTTCCCAATTTTTATTATTTAATTTAATTTTATTTTGTCATTAGCAGCCAAAAGAAAACCTCGCAATTCATTGGCATGAGTTCTGCCACAATGCACCAGCTTGAAGATCCCCTAATGAAGAGATCTGACACAGCCATGGAGTAAGGAATCTGGTGCCAGTTTCCACCCGTCTCCTTACCTAACCAGCAACGTGCAGATGTTCCTGCTTCACCAAGTTAAGGCTACACTTGAGCCATTAAAAAAAGATTCTGCCGGGCCGGCCGAGTGGCGCGATGGTTAAGAACTCGCTTGGGATGCCAGAGGGCCCCGGTTCGGATCCCACATATGAGGGCCAGTGACACTGCCCTCCAC